TGGCCTGGACATGGGAGCGAACGAGGTTTAATGCGGTTGCCTCATTTGAAGAAACTTGGACTAGAGGCAGCAGAGTGAGAAGTTTGTTAATGACTTGTCTTCTGCTGTGCTGTCGGTGATGAGGGATGTTGAGCTGACCTGTGAGCATGCCAAGCTGATCAGGATGCGTTAAAGGATAACTCGCTGTCATGGGACTGCAGCTCATCCTGGTTTTTGGGATCCGGGAAAGAGAGCAGGCAGATGTTGGCTTCAATCGCCTTGATGGAGATTGAGCATCAGGGTGACAATGGCCTTTCTGCTGGAAAGGTTGGGTAGTCTCCCTTCATGGGAGACATTTAAGAAGGGTTTTTTCACTTCCAGGTGGCTCATAAGAGCAACAAGGAGAAGCCTGTTTATGTAATTGCATGTTAGAGAGCTCATGGTAATGCAAAAAGAAAGTGGAAACCACAGCCGATGAGTTGGGTCTCGTTGCCTGCCTTAGGGGAGGGAGGACAGACTCGAGCTCAGGTTTCTCCGCCTGCTCTCTTTGTGCATCCCTGATGTCAGAGATGTTCTTGAGAACTGGCGGGGATGAAAGAAGCAAGCACTGAGATAATCCTGTCTGCCGGCAGACAAGCCGTTGGTCCTAGGTGACCTTGCACCATGAAGTGCCTTATGGTATCTGAGAAAAGGACGCGTTGGCCATCGTCTCCTAGCAAGCCCATAGCACAGTGCCTGCTGCTTGTCTGCATTAATTTTCTTGGTTCCGTGCCTAGCCTGTATATTCAGACTTCTTTCCCCCCCACCCCCAGGAAGAAGGCTGGGAGGTTAAAGCAATTTTGCTTCTTGGAGGAAGCTTTTAGAAAGCCCCAGGACTTTTTGATGCACATTTTTTTTTTTTTTTTTGAAGTTTCATGAGGCTGGAAGAGCATTTCTTCCCTTACTGGGTTGCAGCATTTCTGGTTGGTTTTGTGTGTGTGTGCGTGTCCTTAAAGGTACGAATGTTGGCCATAAGCATGTGGAGGAATGGTCAGCAGCTCTGCATGGTAGAATTGGCTTTTTTATTTATATTTTTTTTTGCTCTGGACCTTACTGTGCAGTTCCTTGGGAGCCCGAGTGAGGGCTGTTGTCTTGACCTTGCTCAAATGGTTCTGCCCTTGGCCTGGGGCTTGTGTGACCACAGAACGAATGGGTTCAGGCAACACCACCACCTGAAACAAATCCCTCCTTTAAGGATCAGGCTTTGGGCACTCTTAGCTCCCCCATCAGACGGTTGCATCATCGGGTGAGTGTCAGTACTGGCACAGGGCAGGGGAGGAGGAGGGGACGTGGGAACGGAATTGGGGCAGGATGGGTTTGAGCTGCTGAAACGTGTCCTGAGCTGGGTGTTGCGGAGGTTGCACAAGGCAAGGATCAGAGGGGGAGACCAGCACTGTACCTAAACCCCACCAAACAACGACCCCGAGCTATGGGACTGGCTTCCTGAGAGCCTCTGCAACTTTGCAAATTTAAATCTATACTTCTAAAATAACGTTTATATCGTGTACATTTGAACTTGATGGTCTCATTCCCCCTTCCTTGTGCCTTGTACTATCATTTACACCTTTGTAAAGTGGGTGTAAAACGCCGATGTTCTATTTAATTCCATTTAATGTTGCTTTTCTCACTGTGAAATGCATATCACAACGATAAAGGCAGTGGAAAAGTCGAGACCACTTAAATTTAAAAATCCCCTCTTCTATTCTTGTTTAAACCATGTACTTAAAACTGCTCTGAATTCTCTAATTGCTGTTCAGCGCTGAGTGAGCGCAGAAGGACGGGCAGTGGGAGAGGGACGAAGGTACGTGGGAGCGCTCAGGATAACGTGACGAGGGACCCAGTGAGTCATGCGTTAGTCACGTCACTCCCTGCACCACTGGCAAGCGTCGGGCAGTAGTGATGTGGAGGACAGTGGCATCTGCAGAGATCTTTAGATTGAAAATAAAAGGAAGGCAGCAAAATGTCAAGCTCGCAAAAGCTAGAAGGTAGAATTTGTGTTAATTAAATCAATGCTAATTAAAAACCATTGGGCTTTTTTTCTGAAGTTATGTGAAGCTGTTTTGTTTAGTTGTGGGGTTTTTTTTGTTTGGTTGGGTTTTTTTAGTGCAGATCATGGAAAAATAACAGCAGGGAGTTTTGTAAGCAGCTGAGAACGGGGTGTTGCAACGCGAGGTGGTGGACAGCAGCGTGGCTGGAGACTGCCATTAGAGAGGGATTTCTGTCTGAATAAGTAGGCAGTGTTATTGGTATTTCTCTGTGCTCGATGGATTCAGCAGAGAAAAACCAGCATGTTTCATAAAAATTATGCCAGACTGTGATTAAATGCCATTCTCGCTGCTGTATCCATATTCCAGTCCTTTATTTATAGCACGTTTCTGCATTACAAACGCAAAAAGTTATTTGCCTGCACGTGGCTGGAGAGCAGCCAGGGCAAAAGGGTCCCAATATTCAAGAGCACCTGGAGGTCCCTGATCCATGTCCTTTCTGCATCCGTGACTGGCTGCAAATTCCTGGTGCAAATTCTGCTGGGGAGAAGCCACGGGAGAGAGAGCAGCCACTGGACCGGGCTGCCCCGTGCCTGTTTGGCCTTGACGATGTCCGGATGAAAGCTTAGGCTGGACTAAGGCAGGTCTGGCACTCAGCCTACATCTGCACCCTGATGAAGGAATCCAGACCGATGTTTGAGTGATGATGTACATATGTCCTGAGTGCTCTTAGTATATCAATGTTTCATGGTCCGGTGCTTTGGGCTTGCCTAAATTCAATTTTTATCTTTTTTTTTTTTCTTTTCTAAATACTGAGTCAAAACTGCTCTCCTTTCCCTTGGAGCTGCCCGTGATCCTTTCAGCTTATTTCACAGACCCCTTTCCCTTTCTTTCAGACTCTGTTCTGAGTTCTCTGAATCGCTTTTGGTCCTTCAGACTCTCTTGCTGCTCCCGATGAAGGCATCTTCATCAGCTTTTGCACAGTGTTATCTCTCCGCAAGCACATCTAGATTGAATTTTTCCAAATGTACCACTAAGAACAAGCCCAAACCATAAAGTTATGCTTTCTTTTACATATCTTAAGGTTCACAATCCATCTTGTGCTCTGTGTTTGTGTAGGGACTGGCACAATGAAACCCAGCCCTAGTTTAGTGCCTGGACAATTCTGCCATAAATGTAAGACATAAAACTGAGTTGGTACATAGCCTCAACATTTAGCTTTTTCATTTTTCCCATCAAGGAGAAAAGTACTTGTTCTCTTGTTGAGATTTTAAACTCTTAGAGCATTTGAGAATAGAATTTCACATGCCTTTTTTTCCCAGCAGTGTATGGGCACAGGAGTTTCTTCATGCTAGTATCTTCCCAAAAATCAGGGAGCCTGTGGTGCTGCTGGTCCTGTGAGATGGGCGCTAGCGGGGACGAGGACAAGCAGCACATGGACGGTGTTAAATGCATTGCAGGGTGGGAATTCCTGCGACAGCGTCGCTTGGCGTGGGAGGTCTGGAGCTGCATGTTGGGTTTTTGTGGCCTGAGACATCTCCCAGGAGTCCCACAAGGAGGGTTAAGCTGGCAATATGTCTATTTTGGGGAAAAAGTAGAGGATATTTTAGCAGCTTGATAGTATCCCTTTATTGAAGCATCTGTGCTGGTATCCCGTTAATAGCGGCGCTGCTTTTAGCAGAGTCCGACTCCTCATCTTTTCCTTTCAGACTTTCTATCACAAATTACCAGTGAACAGCTTCTATATTATTTCCTTTTAGTTGCTACTTAGTTCAGCAGAAGAAATAAAACCTTTCTCTGCAGCAGGTGAAAGGCAATTTCTAACTGAACATACTTTGTTTCTTTTTTTTTTTTTTTTTTTTTCTTGTCTTCCAGACTTCATTTTATGGCAGATTCAGGCACTTTTTGGACATCATTGATCCGCGCACTCTGTTTGTTACTGAGGTAATGTATACATGCCTTGTTTTCTGGAACTACTGTTTATTAGATAGGTTTGGATTAAAAACAATTTCTTCTGTGAACAGCAGAAGTAATGAAGCCAGGTTTCCAGTGGCTTTGTGTCTCACAGTTGGTTGATTGCCCAACTGAGCTCTGTCAAATTCGTAGCAGAAACTCTTTATTAGACATCAGTGAATCCCCATCAGTCTCCCATCTCCCTCTAATAACTGGTGAGACCCTGATCTGGGTTTGGTCAAACTTGCCAGTGATACCTTGTCTCAGAAGGAAAATTCCTGCAAGAAAAAAAAAATGCAGGTGAGTAGATGAGAGAGCAAATATTAATGTTTTGTGGAGGAAATGAGCTGCAGTATGAGCTGGGTGGACTTGCTCCGCAGTTCTTCACTGGCTGCGCTCCAGAAGACCTTTTCTGAGCACTGTGTTGTAGTTTTTCCTTTGTTATTACCCTGTTTGTAACAGGCTTTTGGGTTTCTGGCCCATTTATGTTTCATTTAATGTTGTCCAGCATTACTGCATTTCCCTGCTTCCATAAAATACTGAGCTAATAGTTGTGGGGAATCCTTTAGGAGAAATATTTCTGCTGGTGGTCTTAAATTCTGCCTGGTGGGCAGAAAACTTAGGATTTTGCTTTCAGTGAAGGACAGCTGCCTTTTCCTTTTCCCTTTTTTTTTTTTTTTGAGTTGAAATAGTGCAAGATGGAAATATATGTGCAATCAATTCTGAAAATGGAGCTGAACTGCTCACTGTACCAGTGGTGAATTGGGTCCTGTTCCTTACACACGGTGATTGTGGGGGGTAGAAAAAAAGACCCAATGCAACTTTAAATAAGCTCTTTCTTCTAAACCAACTAGCTTTTTTCAAAAACATAAGGCTAAGAAGTATCGTGTCATTCGTTTAGAGTACCTTTTGGATGTGTGCCCAAGAGAACTGCAGACAATAAAGCAGCTGTTCTTATACCATCACATTGAAGATTATGCATTCCCTTGTAAAAACACAGGCTCAGATCAAGTATGAGATCAATTTTCAAAAGCCACCAACCTTGAGATGGAGCTCAGCCTGGAGAGGTAACCTGCTAGCAAAAGAACATTGCAATTCCAAAGAGACTATTAGCCATCGTTGTGTCATGATAGAAAGGAATGAAAATCACAATATTACCTGAGGATGCAGTGCACTCTGCAGATGCTAGAGCTGCTATTTAAAGAGGATGTAAGCACATATGCCAGAATAAAAACAATATTACACGTTAAAGGCTCAGTGCCGCTCTTAAGCGCAGCACAATGCGGATTGGAGTGTGTTGGACAGCGTGGGGAATCCTCCAGTGTGCGGTTGTGGTGATGCAGAGGCTGTTGTATGTAGTTTCTGAGCTGTCTCTATATATTTTCATAATTTTGATTCTGAAATTCATAAATGGATGCAAAGGGCCTTCACTACCTAACGATAATTTTTGGAGGGGAGGAGAGGATATTTGGCATGCAAAAGGGAATGGGATGCTGGAGAAGGGAGACTGTCTTTGGCCATTTTTGCCATAAACTGAGAATGCTAATGAAGCACCTAAAGACAGTGAGGAAACCAAGGCTCAGAAGTATATGGATCCAGACAAACATTGAGACGCCCCTCTCTCATCAGGCTAATTGGCACTAGAAAGCTTTGCAGAGTTGGTAGTTTCCATGAACGTCTTCTTTCCAGCCTGCTGCTCTGGGGCACAATGTCTGGGCAGGATGTGTTCAGGATATTTGAGGATGAACACGGGTTCTGGGCTCCAGGCAGCTGCACCAGGAGGCCCTGAGTTGAGGTCACTTGGAAGAGAACTTCTTCTCATAGAACAGGAAAAATGGGTGATTCTGCTCTTTTTTTTTTTTTTTTTTTTTTTGGTGGATTTTGTTATGGCTCAGCCAGTTTTGTTTTCCTCTTTTTGGAGGAAAATTCTGTTAGGTGGAGCTCATCCATCCAGTTCTGTTTAGTTAAAATTTCTCTTCCTTTGGGAATGTTTCCATGTTCTGATAATAATCCTCACCTTTCTCAAGTCTCCATTTGAGCCTATAGTATGTGTCTGTATGTATTTTTTTTTTTAAGCTGGGTAACCCACTGTGCATAATCCAAGACCAAACTATGGTTTTTGCAATGCCATTAAAACAGAAAAAAGACAGAATTCTCAAACCTGCTTCTTGTGTATCTCCAAAGTAGGGGGATATGAGTGAACTTGATTGAGTTAGTGATTCTGCTCCTTGCAGGTTTAAGGAGAATGAAGTGTGTTCACTTTTGGGATGGGGTAAGCACGTTCCCACTATGGTAATGGAAGTATAATGAAACAATTTGAATTAAGTACTATAACTCAGTCTGGTTTCACTGCGTAGCCCAAACCTGTAATTCTGTCTACTCATTTTGTTACCTCCAGCAACAAGCAGTTCTGGTTCCAGAACAGATATTTTAGGTTCCTGAAAGACTCACTTTCTCCCTCCTTTGTGGATTTCTTCTTTAAGGGCTGAATCTCTTCTGCAGTGATCGTGCTTGTCGTGCTCCATTGAATATCGAGGGTGTCTAGGCTCTTGGGTAAGCTATCTTTGGGTTGGGTACGTGCTCTGGACTTTGAGGTGATCTCTCCTGTGGCTCAGCTGCATGCTTTTCTACCTTCCCGTTGTCTCCTTTTCAAGTTGTTAGAAGTTTTTGAAGAGGTTGGTAAGATTGGAGGTACAGGGTGGTCAGCTGGTGTAACTTAATTTTTCTAGACACCTTTTGATGAGGTTCTTTTAAGAAGGTGAGACCTAGGGGAAAAAAGAGCAAAATCTGACTGGTGTATTTTTATCCTGGAGACTACTGAGGATCAAAGAATCATAGAATGGTTTGAGTGGGAAGGGACCTTAAAGCCCATCTAGTCCCAACCCCCTGCCATGGGCAGGGACACCCTCCACTAGCCCAGGTTGCCCAAAGCCCCATCCAACCTGGCCTTGAACCCTGCCAGGGAGCCAGGGGCAGCCACAGCTTCTCTGGGCACCCTGTGCCAGGGCCTCAGCACCCTCACAGGGAAGGATTTCTGCCTCCCATCTCATCTCCATCTCCCCTCCTGCAGCTTCAGGCCATTCCCCTTGGCCTGTCACTCCCTGCCCTTGTCACCAGCCCCTCTCCAGCTTTCCTGGAGCCCCTGTAGGGACTGGAAGGCGCTCTAAGATGTTCCTGGATCTGAGTGCCTCGAGCAATTCTGGACCCCAAAGTGAACCTCAACAAACGAGGGAGGTTTGGTGTCCTTCTGTGGGGTCTAATAAGCATAGCTCTGAACTTCATGGTCTTCAGGAACGGCTTGGTGGCTGCCCGAGGAAAGAAATGCCCTCTGTCCATTTTCTTTGGGAGTTTGGATTATATGATAGTGATGCTTCGGTAGACCTTCTGCCATGTGTTTTGTGACATCTACATAAGCTCTC